TCCAGCGCGCAGGCGCCGCCGAGCCCAGCCCGGGCGCTCAGTCCAGGCACTAGGGGGAAAAGAATCGGCGATTTGCAGCGAGGAGCAGCTCGAGCCTGTCGGGATACCCAGCGCCAACAGGTAGGAGAGCACGCTCGGGGTTCGGCCCGGGGAGGGGGCGCACACGCGGGGAACTGCAGGTGCGCCGGGAGGGGCCCTCCCCGAGGGGCTGGGGGGTTTTTTCGGTTTTTTTTTTTTTTTTTTTGGACAATAAACTGCATAATGGAAGTACATTCAGACAATGCATCTTCGGTGAGGCTTCTTGAGAGCTCGGTTTCTGGAAAGCCCTGCAAGGCGGAGGCAGCTCAGACTGCCGGGCGCCGGGAGCCCCTCCTCTGCTGCACAGGAGCAGTCTCTCTCCATCTTCGCGTATGTAATGCATGTCTCTCCCCTCCCCCGCCCCACCCCGTTATAAATCCAGGGGTGGCGGATTTCAGGTTTCGTAATGTTGCATGATGCGGTCGGTATTTACCCGGGGATGTGCCGGGGGAGGGGGAATTAAAACCATCGAACGCAGTTCTGCCTGGGCTTCCATCAGCATATTCCCAGCAAGTGAGAAGTGGCCAGGGAAACGCGCTTCGGGGTAGCAGCCGAGGAAGCCCTTTCCCCCGGTGGGGCTCCCGGGCATCTAGGAGACGAGGTGCATTCGTTTTAAAATGAAGCCACTTGCGATTTGCAAGAGAGATGACCAGTGTCAGCGAGAAAGGCTTCACTGCCCAAGAAATACAGGTTCACGTTCTATTCATTTGCGTCCAGGCAGCCACGGTTTACAAATGCAAGTAATTCCTCTGGTTGTGTTTCCTTGACCGGTATTTCCATTAACCGTTTTTAATCCTCATGTGGGCCTAAAAGAGGCAAGATTTGCCAAAATGGGGGGTGGGGTGGCGAGGGAAGGACAAAAGATTAAATCACATCAGATCCTGGGACAAGTTCTTATTCATTTCGGCGTCTAATGCTGAGATTGTGTTTCGAGATGAAGCCACAAATACTCATATGCAGCCCGAAAAGTGGCAGTCGAGTTAAAAGACATATTTTGCAGGGGTTCTTTGGATCCGTATGAACACAGAAGCTGCCTATAAAGCACTGACAATACTAACAGACTTCACATCAGTGTGGGTAGCCTGGTCCCTGTCTCCTATCAGCAACCTTGGAGATTCCTTTGCAATACTAGTGTTTAATTCTTGGGCTGGCCTATTTTACAACTGTGAAACATTCTATTCATTCTCTTCTAAAGGTACCCAGTCAAATGTATGTTCTCTAAAAGAGGGACATCTTTTAATTCGTCTAGCTGAGAAGGTTAAGGAAGCCAATTCTCTGAAATCTCCAGCCAAAAATACTAAAGCAATAGGATTCAAAATTAAAACTTTATTTCCCCAGAAACGAACAGCTTTATGTTAGCACTGACATCATTGCCTGTGAACTTAAGAACTGATAGCTCATTTTTTTTTCCCCAGCTATTTGGATGGCAAATCAAATGGAAGAGAAGAGGAAGCATGACTGCAGCTCGGATCGGCTCTCTTTGTGGATTACATTTTCAGTAAAATGTATGGATCTATCTTTTCCTTGTTCTTCTATCTAGATCATGAGACTTGACTGAGGTTGTATCCTTATCCTCCATCCATCTATGGCGAACTATAGCCATGCAGCTGACAACATTCTGCAAAATCTCTCGCCTCTAACAGCCTTTCTGAAACTGACTTCCCTGGGTTTCATAATAGGAGTCAGCGTGGTGGGCAACCTTCTGATCTCCATTTTGCTAGTGAAAGATAAGACCTTGCATAGAGCACCTTACTACTTCCTGCTGGATCTTTGCTGCTCAGATATCCTCAGATCTGCAATTTGTTTCCCATTTGTATTCAACTCGGTCAAAAATGGCTCTACTTGGACTTACGGGACTCTGACTTGCAAAGTGATTGCGTTTCTGGGGGTTTTGTCCTGCTTCCACACTGCTTTCATGCTCTTCTGCGTCAGTGTCACAAGATACTTAGCTATCGCCCATCACCGCTTCTATACAAAGAGGCTGACCTTTTGGACGTGTCTGGCTGTGATCTGCATGGTGTGGACTCTGTCTGTGGCCATGGCTTTCCCCCCGGTTTTAGATGTGGGCACTTATTCATTCATTAGGGAGGAGGATCAGTGCACCTTCCAACACCGCTCCTTCAGGGCTAATGATTCCTTAGGATTTATGCTGCTCCTCGCACTCATCCTCCTAGCCACCCAGCTTGTCTACCTCAAGCTGATATTTTTTGTCCATGATCGAAGGAAAATGAAGCCAGTCCAGTTTGTAGCAGCAGTCAGCCAGAACTGGACTTTTCATGGCCCTGGAGCCAGTGGCCAGGCAGCGGCCAATTGGCTAGCAGGATTTGGAAGGGGTCCCACGCCTCCCACCTTACTGGGCATCAGGCAAAACGCAAACACCACAGGCAGAAGAAGGCTATTGGTCTTAGACGAGTTCAAGATGGAGAAAAGAATCAGCAGAATGTTCTACATAATGACATTTCTCTTCCTAACCTTGTGGGGCCCCTACCTGGTGGCCTGTTACTGGAGAGTTTTTGCGAGAGGGCCTGTAGTCCCAGGGGGATTTCTAACGGCTGCTGTCTGGATGAGTTTTGCCCAAGCAGGAATCAATCCTTTTGTCTGCATTTTCTCCAACAGGGAGCTGAGGCGCTGTTTCAGCACAACCCTTCTTTACTGCAGAAAATCCAGGTTACCAAGGGAACCTTACTGTGTTATATGAGGGAGCATCTGTAAATCTCTAGCCTTGTGAAACACTAACCTTCTCTGCTAAGCAATTGTGGCCTGTAGCCATATTTTGAGAAGAAATTCAAGAATGGGATCAGCAGTTACGAGGATTTGGGCAACATTCTGCAGTCTTTGCAACAGTTCACCTATAATCCTATTTTAAATCTCAGCGTGATCCTGCTGACGGCCGGCGAAGGTTTGTAATTAAGAAAGGACTGAACCACTGCCCTAAGTTTCTTTCTGTGGTTGAAAACTAGATAAGGAAAGTAGCGGGTGCTAAGTATCAGTGCTAAATGCTGTGTATATCACTACTTACGAAAAAAAATCAAAAAAAACCAATTAGCATTGGACATCTTAATAAATTAAGTTGACATGAGGTAAATGTGTTGATAAAAACTAATTTTAGAAGTTTGAAGACTGTAAACATTTCATACTATTTTTGTTTTGCAAAGACTAAACTATTTGAGGACTTAAAGTACTGTAATCCACTAAAGACGTGCCATGAATTATTGGAATATCACTTTAAAAATCGCCTTGTAAGTCTGGGGGAGCATTCCAAAGCAGTATATTGGTTCCAATTAGAGTTTACTTTTTTGTATTAATACATTGCTATTTCTAAATACCACCTTTCCTTAACTACCAGTGAAATTGCTAGCATTGAACTGTGTTCTGCGGTTATGTTGATTTAGTGTAAAGGTTTTCCAATTCCTTTCTATTTTACAAATGCTAGATATTGGTGTGGGAGGCAACATTAATGGTACCAGCTGGTCACAACTGAGCAGTTCTAATAATGCAGAATAAACACAGGTTGCCTTAAAGGGTTATCTAGTATCCTTCATCTTATTTAGCATTGGAGCAAATAGTCAAGGGACATCTAATCAGTCATGGTCATTCATCTGGAAGTGCATGGAAGATCATTTAGTACTCTTGTTCCTTTTTCTTCACATGGTTTGAAAATTAAGGTGCACATCATTGGCGTAGGAGCTTTTCTTCCGAGGTGTGCTACCCATTCTGGTGTGCTCTGGGAGGCTGCCAGTTGAAGTGTATTTATATTTTAAGTCAGCTGTCAAGAGGAGACCACAGCCTTAGTATGACATCCTGCACAATTTGTGAAGCATCTATTCGATGGAAGGCACAGTCTTGTTTATATTTTCTGCACATTCAGTGTATTGGTCGTTTAAATTATTTGAGTTTTAACTTGTGAAAGCTTATAATATGATTTCAGGTACTTTAGAAATACATTAGATTCTGTGAGCCTCATTCCTTAAGATACAGATGTGTGAACTTCAATATAAAGTTGCATTTGCCAAAATTTATTCGTGTAGCCTGTTAATTTTCTTGGAATAAATTTTACATTTTGGCATATAAGAATCACTTTTTTTAAATCTGGGAGGCAAGCACAAATTAGGAAAACTTGCTTTACTATGATTCTGGTTTTTTTATTTTTATACTTACTGTATTCTGGAATTGGAAATGTATGAATGATAACGAGCTGATAAACTGGCATAATATTATTTTAAAAAGCATTATTGGTAGCTTTTGATAATCTTCCCTCTATTCTTACATGCAAGTAGTATTTTAAAATGTGTATTTGCTTAATGTGCTGGTTCAGAATTTTAATATAATTATCACAGTTTAATTTGTGCATAAGTTGTAAGACAAATGTTTTGTCATAACGTGAAAAAAAGAGAGGAAGTTAGTTTTGTTTGTTTTTCATTGTTTTATTTATGGGGCTTTTTGCATTGGAAAAACAAGTTTAGGAATCTAGTGGGACAGATTTTCTCATTGGTATAGTACTTCTATAAAGAGAATATCCGTATAAAAAAGAACAAGATAACTGAAATGTTTTAATGACACTTGAAATTGTTCAGTTTTGCTTATATAAGGACAGCTCAAGCAGTGATTCAGTGAGTATTCCGGACTCATTTTACTCCACCCAAGTTGATTGGATCTGAGACAAAGTTTAATGCTCAACAGTGAGTTTGGTGTAGCAATAAAGGCTCCTAGCTGCTACTAAAACCCTTATCTAAAACACAATAAAGAAGATGCTACTAAGAGATGTTCCGATAACGTTATGTTTCCAACAACAAAAAAAATTAGATGAAAGTTATCATTACAATAATTATCCTTAGGAACAATTTTGCTTCAAGGTTCTAATACCACCAGCCATCAATAGAATATTTAGCAATACCTGGAGGCAAAGAACAGGTTTTACCAACACTCATTTCCATTTTATAGAAAAGAAAACCAAAATGTGGATTAAGAGTAGGAACCTGAGGAATCAGAGCAAGAGGCAAGTGGGGCCGCATAGCTTTACCTAGCTGTTTGGAGTAACAGATTCGGGTTGGGTTGAGTGACCAGTCCCAGTGAGCACGGCATATAGCTGAACTGTAGTAACTTTCGTGTAAGGCTGCTCTTGAGTAACTTGGCATTTGCAGGTCAAGAGGGAAGCAGTGGATGACACACATCCCTGGTTAATGCTATTTTTAAGCCAGTGAGTAATACTGGCAATCCTACAACGTAAAAGTCTAATACAGTGTCTTTATGACCAAATCACATTGTCTACTTTGATATCCATTCCAATACTCAGTATTTAAAAACAATTAGTAACTAGTTCAACTTGAAAATGTTACTGTTCTTCAACCCATAAAAATGCTCCCACTGGGGAATCCAACTTTCTTGTGAAAAGACTCAGTACCGGTCATAATGTATCTCTTGTGAACTAATTACATATTGGAGCTTAACAGTCTTAAATTGTTTTCGATCATAGTGGAGATGTGTTTGCATGGAGGCCTCGTTACCATCTCATCTTGGTCCTTTTGTGCACAACACATTTCTTTTCTAAATACTGGGCAGGGGCTAGGCATTCACTCTGCAAATGTAGAGTCTCATGCAGACGTTAACTGGGGGAGGTGAGTAGCTTGCACAGCTTCCCACCCAGGCCCCATTTGAATAACACAAAATCAGTATGGTTAGAAGAAAACCACTGTTTGCAGGTAGGACAGGCTGCTGACTGAACTGTCTTCTTTAGATTTTACATGACTGGATGTCAACACCAGCCTTTTCCACATAAACTGCAACTGATTTGTAATTGTTGACACATGGACGTGGCCACTTACCCATTTACCTCTGTCCCCGTGAAGCCTAGCTGAATAGTTGACTCATTTATTCTTTCATTCAAAAAATACCTGCTGGGCCCTGGGCTTGGTGCTGTGGGCACACTGAAAATTTACAAAGCAGACATGAAGATTTCTCAATGTAGTGAGGGCAAGAAACAACAAATGTGTAATAAAATGGGCTGTGAGTGTTCAGGTAGTAAACATCCCCAAGATGCGATAGGTATTAATGGCCGTAATTGACTGCTTTCCATTTTCACTTCTGTGCCTTATCTTTCATGTTTACCCAGTGTTCCTTGAGCTCTCCCATCTATTATAATCCCTCAATTCAGAGGGAACCCCCATTCTACTCTAGGTATCAGGACCATTTCTCCCACACTTAGATGAATCACCATGCTGTGCTTTGGAACCAATTCCTATGTTGTTAATTCTATATATAAAATCACAGCAAAAAAGCTAAATGCCAGATCCCCCGCCTCATGTCCTGTCACTTCCACAGGAGAGCTTTCAGTTCCTTCAAGAGGCGTGGAGGTCGTTCACACTCTGCTTGGACTTTCCTCCATACCAGCGTGAGATTGCCTCTGTGAAGTGCAGACTGATAAAGAACTTGTTTGTTCTCATTTTAGGACCCTCAGGGGGCCTCTGCTGGTGTCCAACAACAATGGGAATAATATGTGAAACTGGACATTTATTTTTATTATGAAGGCATCTACTCCTTCAACAGTTTTTATTGTTCCTTATCAGGGATATAACAGATCCCCAGTCTGCTGAAAAATGTATTTAATCCCTAAAACTCACCTCTGTGGCAGAAATGATAAAACGTATAATTATAGAGACATAACTTTTCAGCTCAGACATATAATGAGTTGTGTTACAACTGAGATAATTGCAAGACAGAAGCAAACAGAACCAAAACTCTTCACTTCCGTGTGCTTCATGTGTAGCATAGACTGTGTGTTATTAAACACACATGCACCAAAAACTCCAGCTAATTAATTCCATATTAAACAGGAAAAGAGCTACGATGATAAATGTTCATGTTTTAAATATTAACTAAAGATATTACTCAAGACAGATAGTTACCAGACTCGTGGATTATTTATGATTCCCAAATCTTGTTTGTTTTTCTGTGCAAAAATATATTACTTCCATGTCTGTTAATATTCTCTTAGAAATGTTTCGAATGGATGTTGCAGGTAGCTATTTGTTGCTGAAATTTTTTTGTTCTTATTCTCAACTGTGGGCATGTCAGTATTCTGTGACATTCTCATTCCCTCAGAAACTTTATTTATACCACATTAAAATAATAGACTTGCTGCATAATAATCTGCATAGTGGTTAAAATGAAGCTATTGTTTGCACATGGCTGGATTATTTTTCTGCCAGCAGTCAAAGTAGTCAAATAAGTTTAAGCCACATTGGAAACTGGAGCAATGTAGGAAAGATCAGAAGTCAGGAGATTAATAACTCCCAGCTTTATCCTGCAATGTAACAGGCTCTAAAAAATATAACCAAAAAGCTTTAACTTTATAAAAAGACCATATAAATGAGATGATTTTAAAATGGGGAAGGAACTCTTACACTATCGTTTTTTGCCCAAAAGGAAATGTCCGGTAGCTTCTCAAACCCTCTGGGTTAAGAGGCTTTTAAAGCCAGTTTTTCTCTCACAACAGTAGGAAAGTTAACACAAGTAATGAAACCTAAAAGGCCCTCCAAAGAAAGCCGGAGAATGTGTTTCCTTCTGAGTCTTGGTAGAAAAAGGACCACCAAATACCACAGGTGGTTTGAGTCTTGGAGCTTTCCCCACCTGGCCCTCAGCCCATCCCCAACTCTTTCTTGGGACACAGAACTCATCTTACAGGTGTCAACGTTTGCCTCACAGGCAGATGCAGTGCTTTTTCCTCCATCTGAATTTAGCAAATAATAAGATCTTAACACAAATCTTAAAGCTGATATGTAGTGCATGTCTTGGTTTATGGGGTTTTGAATAGATAATGAAGTATTGTAACATTTAACATAGGTGAGTACTCAAGATCATGGGACAGGGGACCGAATCATTTATTATAGTACGTGGAAACTGACTTCAGTATGCAAAATGTAAAAACTGAACTGATACTGGAGCTTGAACTACTTAATGTTAATTGCTTATTTTCATAGCTTTAGGAAAGAAAAACTCCAACTAAATAGACAAAAGAGGAGTTTGTTCTATTCTCCTCCTTCCAAGAAACATGGTGAAAGTTCATTCTCTCCAGCGAGAAGAGGAAATTTTGGTTATGGTTAGTAAGCATTTTTGTTTATATGTAATTTAATTCAGTAGTCACTTACTTTGTGCCTGTTGCATGTAGGTTCTAGGAAATTAACTTATCTATGCCTCATCCATGAGAAAGAGAAGACCATAGCATATACCAGTGATGACGAACCCCTTAGAGCTTTCAATAACAAACAGCTGGCACGTGCATGCCATTGCTTCGCCACCACTGGTATACACCTGTATGCTAGGGTTACTGAGAAGATCTATTGAGTCCCTCCTTGTGATGCCCTCAGCAGAGAGTCTGGCGTCTTAAGTAAACTTCACTTTTTATTGTAATAAAGTTCACACCTAGCAGTGCAGACATAAACACATTATGAGACAATGTGATAAGCGTTGTAAAGGAGATCTGTGAGGTAAGTGCAAAGAGAACAGAGACAAGCAATTAACTCTGCGAAGAAGGGAGAGGGAAGGGGAGGTAGGAAAGGTGGCGACTGAAGGAAGGCTTGAAGGATAATTTTAATTTTAAGTGCTGGACGACATTAGGAGAACCATTTCAGCAGAAAGAATAACAAGATGTGCACAAAGCAAAACCATGTGAAAGCTCCCAGTGTGTTCAATGCAAGGTTCCAGTAGTCAGAGAATTGCGGACGGTGGTGGTGGAATGTATGTACAGGAAGGGGCAAGCCAGCACGATGCAGTTGTTAAAAAGCAAAAGACACGGAGTTTTAAGTCCTTATTACAATGACCCTTATTAGCTCTATGGTGTTGAACCAGACAGTATAAACTCTCTGAAACTCAATTTCCTTATCTATAAATTGGGGAATAAGAAATAGCAGTAAGATTTGGAGATGAGAAGAAATAATAAATAAGCACTTACTATGTGCAAAGCACTATCTAAACTGTTTTCATATCTTAACTCATTTTATTAACACAAACTGGTGCTATTGTTGTATATACCAATTTAAAAACTGAAACCAAGAGTAACCTGCAAAAGTATTATGCAAACATAGACGTAAAGCACTCACCGTAACGCCCAGCCCAGAGCAGGCACTCATAAACGTTGGCTATTGTTGTTGTTGCTGCTGCTGCTGCTGCTGCTGCTGCTGTTAAATATAACAAAATAATTGAAGCAGGTTAGACGCTAAAGGGAATAAAAAGCTAGAATACAAAGAGAGCTCCAGGCCTTTCCAATTCAGTTCCACCTTGCTGTCTGCCCTCTGCCCTTCTCATCCACTGAAAATCTGAAGGAACCAAAGAATAGCAGTAGGTTACTAATATCCCCCACTGCTTTCATGTACGATCCGGTGCCTAAAGAAAGAGGAGAACCCATCTGATTTTTCAAAGGATTTTTAGAAGGACATTGCTCAGAGTTTAAAAGTGGGTTACACAACTCACACCAGGTGGACAGTTTTACCTAGATGCGGCGCCTGTTCTTTAGTACTACATCAGTGTTGTCACATTTTATAAAGAGGAGAGATGAGCTAGATGACTTTTGTAAGCTGAGTAAGAACCTCTCGTGCAGTCCGTCAAGTCTCCCTTTAAAGTTCCACCTTCCAGGGACACTGTTCCTAGTGAGTGCACCGGCTAATAACACTTCCTCACCTACTCTGAAATCGCTCTATAGCTTTGGTAATGGTAGTGTTCAGATCTCTACATAGTAAAAGGATGATTCAGTGTGATTACAAGAA